AGCAGGAGAGTACTCACGGCAGAAGGACGGAGTCCTCCAAGGCTGGACAGATACCCCAGCCTCATGGCAAGCAGACACATAGCTCTCAATGCTCTGGCACAAGACTTGGCTGTCCCCGTTACCCAGGCACAGGTCATAGATGCAGTCATCAAGATACACACTGGGGTCCACTTTGCTGTGGCAAGCACTGAGGGGCCCGTCCGATGCCGTGAGCAGCCCACAGTAGTTGCGCAGCTTAAAAATGTCCTTCTTCCTCTCCTCGCAGACCGGGCAGGTGTTTCCAGAGCATCCATCTGAGCAGGCCCCAATAGCCCCAGGGACAGACACTTTCCAGGCAGATCCAAAGGCAGCCACGTTGGAGGCGGCTGTGCCGTCAGGAAGCAGCAACTCGTCATCCTTCCGCCCGTTGTAGTTCCCGCACAGGCCACACATCTGGCCTTGGTAGCTGCTTGGGACGGTGACCGTGGCACGGTAAAGCAAGTTGTAGTGTACAACAAGGCCAAAGTCAGTTTGTATCACAACATTGTTACCGTGTTGATAAGCTCTGAGACGTCCATCGGACAGGGCTATGGGGAGCCGCTGGAACACTCCGTTCACCTGGAGGAAGAGGAGTGTGAGCAGCAGGACATATAAGCTGGGTCTTGGATTGTCCTCAAACTGGCCTCAAGAATCCTGCTACACTTACAGGCTTACTTCACACAGCCGTTCTTGGCACATTGAAGTCAACCCCGGCTGCCTTCTTCAGTGGATTTGGATGTGCTGGATGTGTGCATCTCCAAAATCACTAAAGGATGGATTGTTGGCCATAATAGATGCACCCATTCACAAAATAGTGTTGCGACACAGGCACATTCAGGGTACAAGAATCTAACTAAAGGCCCTTCTTGAGGGTCATCCAACACCACTCTTAGAAGAAGACGACTGTCACCAACTCTAGCAGATCTTCTGAGCCAATGGATGCTGCTCACAGAGAGCCACATTCTCAATCATCATCACAATCAATCAATCAATCAATCAAAAGAGAAATGGGACTACTAAATGCCCATCAAGCACCCACATAAAGTAATTCTAAACATATTAACAACGAATATTAAATGGATAGCTCTAAAATATATTTTAAAAAATTCAGTGCAATGAAAACTGAATTCAGTGCTGAGCCCGGGATAAGTAGCGCGGTAATGTCTCACTAAATTAGTTTTAAAAAAATAATAATCAGGCAATGGATTTGTCTCATATTAAAAATGTTTACTCCAGTTACCAGCACAAACAAAAAAATCCTGTTCCCACTCCTCATAGAAGGAGCTATAAATCGCCTGTCCTGGAACAACACAACTGTATAAGAACATAAGAAGAGCCCTGCTGGATCAGTCCAGCCTCCTGTCTCACACAGTGCCCAACCAGTTACTTTGGAGGGCCAACAACAGGGCATAGAGGCCGAGGCCTTCTCCTGATGTTGCCTCCTGGTTCTGGGACTGAGAGACTTAGTGCCTCTGAATGTGGAGTTTCCCCTCAGTCACCATGGCTAATAGCCACTGATAGACTTAGCCTCCACGAATCTATCTCATCCCCTTCTAAAGCTGTTTATTCCTGTGGCCATCACTACACCCTCTGGCAGCGAATTCCACATTTTAATCACTCCCTATATAAGAACATAAGAATAGTCTTCTCGCCTTCCCTCTCCCACCTTCTATCTTTCTTCTTCATGTCCTTTCTTTACCTCTCTAGTCTTCCTTCCTGCTTTCTTCCTGCCTTGACTTCTCTGTCTCCTTCCCTACTTCTATTCACTCTCCCATCTTTCCCCTCCCCCCCCAGATGTTCCCTTTCGCCTCTTCCAGTGTCCTTCAGTCCTCTAATATTTTTTTCTCTATCATTTTAATTCTAGTTCTTCGCTGGTTCCACATGACTTCCAGCACACCTGTGTTTACTTCTGGGCATGCTGTCAGAAGGGTAGAGCCCCAAATCAGAATCCCACATTGAAGAACAGTCAGATGACATGTGGAAGAGATACATGAAGGAATAATCACTCCTGCTCTGAACAGATTACTCCCACAGGGTCAAGGATCCAAAGCTCGTTGCCATGTTTGTGTTTTGTGTTCCTCTAACAATGAAATTCTAACATCGTACTTTTTGGGTCATTTATATTTCTGATCTAGCAGCAAAATTGATAAAGGAAACCTAGACTGATGTAGACGTATGGCATGGAGCAAACCATGAGTTTCTGCCCCGGATATTTGGAGGGTGGAACCTGGGGAGGGCGGGGATTTGGGGAGGGGAGGGACCTCAGCAGGGTACAATGCCATAGAGTCAACTCTCCAGAGCAACCATTCCCTCCAGGGGAACTGAACATGGCTTTGATCATCCATCAAAACCTGGATTCAATACTTTCCAACTAAGATGACATGTGGAAGAGATACATGAAGCAATAAGCACTCCTCTAAGCTGAGTTAGTGTGAGCTAGCTCACAGTTTTTTAGCCTCTGGCTCACACATTTTTGTCTTAGCTCAGGAAGGATGGCTCTGGAGCAAACTAATTTATGCAGTAGCCAAAATCACCTGCTCACAACTTTAATGGCAGTAGCGCACAAAGTAGAATTTTTGCTCATAGGGCTCCATAGCTTAGAGGGAGCACTGTTTCCAACCTCCTTTTCCACAACCCGTGGGACACACATTCTGTTGGATCTTTAATAGCTTCCAAGTGTTGCATGTACTAGTAGGATTAAGAGACCTACCTTGACTAGCCCCTTCATTTTCTGCAGCAGGGTGAGCGTGGTGTCATAGACTTCCACGGAGATCATCTTGTTGACGGAAACTTTCCCACTCCCCCAAGCTTCATTCTCCTCTTTGACAGTGAAGGGCGTCAAATGTGCCTTGTCTGTGATATGGGTCTTAGCAAGAATGTAAGTGCAGGTGCCCTGGAAGTTGAAGTGCAACTTGTCGAAGGTGATATAATGAGGATCACCAGTGGCCAAGCAAGATGCAGAACCAGCCGAGTGGCATTTCTGGATGCCGTCGACCACCCTGCACTCTTCATTTGGGCCACAGGAGAATTTCTTGCAGGTGACGGCGCCACCAGCCTGGCACATGCATTGCAGATCACACTGCCGAGTTGGGTAAAAGGTCTGCCCCGCTGAATAGTATCGGTCCTGGTACACGCAACCACATTTAGACATGGGGACACAGCGGTCACCGCTCAGCACAAAACCTTGGTCGCAGACACAGCCTTCTGTGCAGTGCGCAGAGCAGGGGAGGGGTGAGTAGAGGCTGCTGCAGGTTTGTTGACAGCCTCTGGCGCAGAGCTCATAGTGGCTATTCTGGGGGCAGACTGGCTCTGGAATGAGAAAGTAAAGACATGCCTTATCTACCATTCATATCTTGCTTAATCGGCATCATTGGGTTTGGATCGTACCTAGGGATGGGCACAACTGGGGGAAAGTGGTTCCGTGCAGTTCGTTGTTCATGATGTGCCTGGTTTGCGAACCATGAACCATCATGAATTTTTAGGGGCCAAACGAACCAGTTCAGTTTGTGAGGTTCATGACCCACTAGAACAGCCTCCCAGTGTGCTAGAGACACCAAGCTCACAAGGGAATCTCTGTCTGACTCTCCTCTACCTGCCCTCCAAGTCCAGTGAAGATATCATTTCCCCAGAAAGCACTTTCCTGGGGGTACCTTGTTGGGAGGGGGCATAACTTGGACCCTGTAAATCCAACCCTCACTAAACTTGGAGGGCATGGAGAGGAGAGTCAACCAGAGATCCCTTGCAAGTTTGGTGTCTCTAGCTTGCACAGGATCCATTATATACACTCCTGAACTGGTGGTACAGGCAGTCCTTTTGACAGGCGCAGGATCAGGAGGTTCGAGAGTATATAGAACTGACACTGTGCAAGCTTGAGACATCAAAGTCTCAGGGGACCTCCCCCAGATGTTTCTGTACATGACCTCCAAGTTATGTTGCTTTGAAGTTTGGTAAACATTTAGATTGAGTGCAGACAGTTTGTCTGGAAATATATCTGTTCACAAACCAGCACAAACCTCCATGGATAGCTTGAAAGTTTGTGGTAAGTTCATGCTGATTGACCTGCCATGAACTTCACTTTGTGAACTACAAACTAGCCAAAATTCATCATCATGAACTTTAGTTTGTGAGCCAGTCCGTGCCCATCCCTAATCATACCCACCAACTTCTAAAATAAATTGAACATGGGGAAACTGTAGGATTCTTTCTATGTTACATTTTTATATTGCATAATAATTCTTGAATGTGACGTACTTACAGACCTCATTTCTGATTCACACACACTTGTTTAAAGGAACTAGATTGGTAGCTTGGGAAGGGCCATGGCTCAGTGGTAGAGCATCTGATTGGCATCCAGAAGGTCCCTAGTTCATCCCTTGGAACCTCCAGTTAAATTACCAGGGAGTAAGTAGGTGATGTGAGACCCTGGAGAGCCGCTGCCAGTCTGAGTAGACAATACTGACTTTGATGGAACAAGGATCTGATTCAGTCTAAGGCAGTTTTGTGTGTCCATATGTGTTTGAGGGGCATGTGTGCTGGAGCAGTAAACCATGTGTGGTAAACACACGGAAAGACCCCCTTTGGTACATGAGGTTCCTTTCCCTCTGTTTTCAAACTAGAAACATGGCTTCAAGTCCCTGCTGAGGCTCACAGGATAAGCTTGAGAAAGCTCCCCATCTCTCAGGCTAACCTAACTCATAGGATTGGCGTATGGAATGCATAAAAATGAGACACATCCACATAAAACACTTTGAACTCTATAGAGCACGTTCAGGATACAAATGTGATTGTTGACATCATGCCATCACTTGACCTTCAGGTTCTTTTCCCCCCCCCATGCTGTGAAATGGACTGCCAGGAACAGAAGACAGGCCAATCCATTACAAGCAAGGACAGCCCATGGCTTAGTGGTGGAGCACACGCTTTGAATGCAGAAGGTCCTAGGTTCAATCCCTGGTAGGGTTGCCAAGTGGATTTTCGCCGGGAGCGGGGGGCTCCCGGCCGGCGTCTGGTGCATGCGCCACACACACGTCACCCGGAAGTGACGGGGGGACACCAGGCACGCTGGGGGCGGGGCCACGGCCATACAAGGGAAAACCATAGAGTTTTCCCTTG